AGGAGGCAGTCAATCAATGATTCTCTCTCATCATTGATGTTTCTATCTCTCTCTCTTTCTCCCTTCCTCTCTGAAAGCAATAAAAAAAAAATTAAATGTTGAAGGGGCAGTCCTAAAAGCTTCCTCATGGTATTGTTTTTGTAAAGAATGAAGAAAACGAAGTATGTCCCCAGGGCCCCCATCACCCCGTCTTCTGTGGGTACAGAAGCTCTGCAAGCCTGAAACCTCCAGCAGTCCCCAAAAGAGGCTCAGCTCCAGCTCTGAGCCTGGAGCCTCACCCTCCAAATCCTTGTGGCTGTCAACAATATGTCCCTTCTGCAAGCTTTCAGGCAAAACCTACCTAGCTTCAGAGCTGATTGTCCTTACCAAAAAAATGGTAGTGCCTTCTAGAGCAGCAGGGAAGGCTGGCCAGGGAGAGTCCACCAGTGACCTACCCATCTCCCGTGTGGCACCCCCAAATGGAAAGCAACTGAGGACCCTTGAGAGAACTGTCACTCAGGAGTAATCCCACCAGGGTGGGCCCTGTACATAGGTACCTGGTGCGATTTGAGGAACCCCAGACACTCTCTGTGCCCAGATCTCCCACTCTTTGTCACTGGGCCTGATATCCCACAATCAGGCCTCATTCCACCAGCATTTATGAGCACCTACAATTTTCTAGGCATCCTGCTAACCATTGGGCTTAAATCCATTGGGCTGTGTATTACCCTCTCTAAGCATTTTCTTTTGAAATGCAAATACCCTCGGAGAAGGGCAATGCATTAAATCACTAATACCCCTAAGTTAATTGGGGGTTTCTTTCTTTTAAAAACAGTAGAGAAAGCCTGGACATCTTTAGCAAAAAGGAGAGCTAAAGTTCAGAGGGCAGAGGTGACTACCGAACTAGAAGCAAGACAGCAACAATCTGGCCTTTTTCTGTGGTTGATGTCTAGGGCCACATCTCCCCCTTCCTTTATCCTTTCACCAAGACAAACACACCCACTGCCCCCACAAGCAACCATGGTGCCCATAAGTGCACCTGGTAAGGCGAGCCAGATTCCAGAGAGCAGCCAGAGGCTGGGCGGCCTTGGCCCGGCTGCAGAGGGGTCTGGCCTGCCTTTCACCATCCCCAGGGTGAGGATGCCCTGAACTAGTGCCTACTCGCTCCCCAACAAGTCCAGGGCTTGGAGTTCAGGTAATTAAGCCCTTGGCAATCTCACCTGGGCCCGCCAATAAACCAGACAATCAACCCCAGCCCCTGTTCAGGAGGGAGAGAGAAAAGAAGGAGGGCAGGAAGGAGAGAAACTTTTTTCTATGCTGCATTCAAGGCTTGGCAACCAGAAGGGAAAATGCTATTAGTCTACAAACAGCCACTCCAAATACCCCACTCCATACCCAGGGCCTTCCCCTTCTGCCACAGAACCCTGGTCTCCGTCTGCCACCATCATCGGGGTGACAGAGGACACCTGTGTGGGCTGCAGCCTGAACAGGAGCCAGGCAGTGAGGGCCTATACTTGCAGAGGCAGGCTTTCCCAGCATGGCTCCTTCCACGGCAGAGGAGGGAGGGAAGGGCACCTGAATCCCCCACCCCACCCTGAGAGCCACAGCACCCTCCAAAAATGTCTAGAAGGGTGCTCCAGATGCTCTCTTTAGAGCAACTGAGCGACTTCTTTGTACCCTGCCTGATTTCACCGCCAGCTCCTGAGGGTCCAGTCTGCCTGGGCTCCTACAGAAGACCATTCCTTAAGCATCTCTGCTTTGGTGCAGTGCCCAGCAGGTACCTGGCATTCAAATAGAACTTCCCTTTCCCCCCTAAATAATAAATATTAATAGTTCTGGTATATGATCACACTGATATGGGATGGAGTTCCATACCTGGCACTTTTTACTCCCTATATCACTTACTCCTAAGACACACATGAGGAAAAGGCTTTTCTGTCACATGGTAGAGTGTGGGAGAATACAATTGAACAGTAATAATTGTCATTTAGTGAGTGCTTGCTAAGGGACTAGCCTAAGTACTCTGAGGATTATCTAAGTTAATTTTTTCTAAAATACTATTATCCCAATTTACAGACAAGGAAACTGAGGCTAAGAAAGAAATTTGTCCAAGATCACACTAAAATTTTAATGAATACTTATTTAATTTAATTGAAGACTCCCATTTCATGTCAAGAACTAGTAGGAAGGAGGGAGAAGACATTTGTGTCCCCCCAAAAAAACTATCCAATCTCACCAACATGTAAACAGGCCCCGGGGGAACCCAGCAAGTCCTACTCGCTCTTCACCTTGCGCGTAACAAGTCCAGCTAGCCTAAAAGTCTCTGGGCCGCCTCTGGAGAGGCTACACTCCTCCACCGTTTGGGGGGCGGGGGGTGTCCTGGAAGCTCTCAAGGATCCCAAACGTTCCCATTGCCTTTCCTAATGCGGGTCTCAATTGAACAAAACTGGGGGTTCTAGCTTCTCACTCTCCTCCCCTGAGGAGAGGTTTCAACAGGTGGGGAGGAGGTGCATCACGGTAGAGTCCTCCGAAGTTGAGCTGAAAAGCCTGGAGGTCTCTTAATTCCCTCCCGCCACCCCCGCAGGCTGAGCTGTGCCTCTCGCGGGGAAACTTGGGCACTGCAGTCAATAGGGGGGCCTGCAGTTCGCCCAAGGCCGCGGACCTCTTGGAGCCTCCGGGCCTGGCCCGCAGGAACCCGCGGAGAACCCCCGCCACCCCTGGGTCACGCGCAGCAGGAGGCGCCGCAGAGGGACCAGGTCTGGGGCTGGAGCGGCCGAAGCTCTCTGCTCAACGCCACTCCCCGCTTCGCCCCTTCTGCCAGGTCCGTGGCCCACTGGCCGGAGCCGCTGGCTAATATTTCATGCCCCCAGACCGCCTCCCTAGGTGACGCTACAGCCTGTGTGGTTCCTTTAAAGGCTGCGGGTTCCGCTCATCTTTCCTTTTCCACTGGATGCCAAAATATGCAAATCCGGGGACCGGAATCTGCAGCCAAATCAAGGAGAAGGGGCGCGGCCGACGCGTCACCGGATCCGCTCCTTGTATGGCTCTTCCCGGCTTGGCCCGCCGCCCGGCGACCCTCCCTGCAGCCGCCAGAGCCCCTCCTGCGCCCAGCCCAGCTCTCACTGCCGCCCACGTCCCCGGGCCCGCCGCCCGCCCCCCTGGGAGGGAGCCGGGGGCGGCAGGCGCTGCACGCCCTGATTCCGGCCGGAGCCCGGACCGCTGCAGAGCTCTCGCTCCCCGCGCCGCGCGGGCGGAGGAGAGCCCGGGGGCACAGTGCTTCCCCGGTTTAGGTTGGGGAGCCTGGCGAGCTTGGCGGCAGGGGCGGGGGAGAAGGGGTTCACGGGCAGCGGGAATCCCTCCTTTCCTAAGAACTGGAGAAGATCCGGGGGAGACTGGCCCCTCCCACTCCCAGTTCTCCGCGGAGTGAAATGGAGGGGAGGAAAGCGAGGTTGTCATCCACCCCCACCGCTATGTGCAGCTCGGGAGTTCCTCCCACGCGTTCCCCGGCCCGCGTGGCCCTCCCACGGAGTGAGGCTCGGGGATCCTCTCTGCCTCCTTGTCAACACTCCTACTCCCCCTGAGAAATGCACGTCTCCCCCAACCCGACTCCCCAGCGGGGGACACGGGATTCACCGCACCCACGCGGCCACTGAGGAGGGAATCCTCCCACGCCAAGCCAGTGTGATTCGGGGTCGCTCCCCCACGCTCCCTTCCTCTCCTCCCCTTTCCCCGGGCCTGGCCGCGCGCGCTCCAGGAGCAGGCCTCGGGGAACATATCAGCCGCCCCCGGGATCTGCTGCTACGGGAGGTGACAGCTCTCGGGTTGGCAGACAGGCGGCCTTTGACTGCAGGGCGTCAGGGACAGCCCTGTAGAGGGCGATGGTTAGGGTAGAGACGAGGGGAGGCCGCCGGGAGGCCAGCAGAGTGTCAGACTGTGAGCTCGGCAAGGCCCTGCTGCGACTCCGTGGCGGGCCCTTCCCAGGCAGCAATAGACAGCGGCTGCGCCCAAGCCTGCTAGGCCCTCCTGCCATTCCCTGGCCAAAGGGGTGCTTAGGAACCGTTAGTGAATTAGTCGAGGATTTGGTGCACGTGTTTCCTATCCGCTCAACTTCATTTTTTCTTCTTCAACAACAAAACCACACATCCTCGACCCCAAATGTGTGGGGTTCTCGCCTCCCGCGCAGCCTCTTTGCAGCTACGACTCTCCCCGCCAGGGCGCTCAACCAGGAGTCAGCGCAGGGGGCACAGGGAGAGGCAGGGGTGTGGGCGGTGAATCAGAGAGATGGAGGTACAAAAGTTCTCGGGATGTGGGACCAGGTGTCTCTGACTCGCTGGAATCCTTCTCCGCGGAGGGACGCGCTTCCTTTCTCCCGGTCTCAGGCAAGGTCCTGGGCCCGAGAAGAGCAGCAGAGCAGAGACGGCTGGAGCGGTGTCGGAGTGCACGCCTTCCGGGTTCCCCACAAGTTCCCAGGCTGCAAAGGGACGTTGCCCGGGGTTTTCAATTCTCATTCTTCCTGCTACGGGTGTTGGAGCAAACCTCCTCCCGCCGCCCCCCCCCCCACACACACACACTCGCGGCCGCGCCCCCACCCCACCCCGCTGTCCCAGAGGGTTCACTCCGTGGCGACCCAAAATGAACATACCGGCAGGTATGGCTTTTTCGAATGCGCCCTACCCCGCTTTACTCTCTGCGTTCAGCTAGATGCAACCCGTCCTCTACTCTTCTCGAACTGTCATGTCTTACCTCCACTCTCGCTCTTTTCTGTCTCTTTTTCAAGATCCGCGAGCGGTGCGGACGCCGCACGCTTGGCGGCCGCCGCTTCTGCTTTCTAATGTTCCATTGTGAGGAGCTTCCATTGTGACGTCGCGCCCCTTCGGCTGGGCTTTGTCTGTCCATATATGGGCAGCTACGTCACGGAGCTTTCCCGGGGCTCAGATAAATAGGCTGGTGGAGTTCCCTGGCTGGGAGCTTTTGGGCAGCAGTGAGCTTGCTAGGAAGCGGCGGGGCTGGTGGTGGTGGTAGCAGCAGCGGCAGCAGCAGCGGCAGAGGCAGCGGCAGTGGCGGCGGTGGCGGCGGTGGCAGTGGTGGATCGGGGGGAGGGGGGGCCCCGGCGCGCGTCTGTTTGTAAGATCCATACTGAAGCCGCGTCCGACCCCCTCCACCGAGACCCCACCCCACCCAGGACCCCAACCCACCCCCCCGCACACGCCCCCCCACGCGACCCAGCCTCATAGGGCACCCGCCAGGCAACCAAGAAGATTACCCCCCTTTGCCCTCTCTCCCACCCACCCCCCAAAAAGAGAAGATCCCCTCCTCTGGCCCACCCCTTCCCCTTTTCCCTCTCTCCTCCCCCCGAACTTTCCCTCTCGCATGCTTTTCCCCTGCACCACGGATCGCCTCTCGGATGCCGCTCGCCTGGAAGCTGCGTTAGGAGAGAGCGGCGGCGGCGGCGGCGGTGGCGGCGGCGGCAGCTCGGGAGTGCTATGACCGGCAAACTCGCCGAGAAGCTGCCGGTGACCATGAGCAGTTTGCTAAACCAACTGCCTGACAATCTGTACCCCGAGGAGATCCCCAGCGCACTCAACCTCTTCTCCGGCAGCAGCGATTCCGTAGCCCATTACAATCAGATGGCTACAGGTAAGGGCGGCGGGGAGGCTGCGAAGCAGCGAGGGAGGAACGGGAGAGGAAGAGGAGGGGGAACGAGCTAGCTAGCGATGGATGGAAGGAAGGAAGGAAGGAAGGATGGATGGATGGATGGATGGAGAGATGGGGGCGCGCTGGGAATTTTCCAGGGGGCGAGTTGCTTTTCCCACCCACTCCCCGCCCCCCGCCCTCTCCGATCGGGAAGGCTCGGTTGGCTACGCCACGGTAGAGGCTTCTGTTCTCCCGGGTGGGGGCAGCCGCCGACCGGAGGGAGGTAGGTGCTAGCGGCCCTGGGGTTCTCCACTCAGGGGGCGCGATCGCCGGGCTGCACGCAAGGCGTGGTGCCGTCGTCCCCTTTCCCAGGAGGAGCCGAGCGACCCTTTCACCCGCGCTCTCTCCCCTTATTCCCTCAGCCCCCCACCCGGGATGGAGCCGTGTGCGGCGTGGAGTCCCCGCGGTGGGAGAGGTACTGCGACGCTGCCTTTTCGGGGCGTTCAGCAAACCCCTGGGGGTGTGGGGACGGTGGGGAGAGGGTCCACCCACGACGGGGCTGCCCCGGGGGGCGGGGGGGGGCGATCCTTGGGCCGAAGAGCTTGGGAAGAGCGGCCACTCCCGCCGTGGAGACATCGGTCGGTTTTCCGCCGCCCTCCACCCTCGCTAGCTGGGGCTGGGCTTTCTCCCTCCAGCAAGAGCCTAAAGCTTCTTCAGGCCCGGGGGAGACTGGGCCAGGGGGGAGGCGGCGGGCGCGCTCCCTTTGAGGGCAGCACCCCTCTACGCGCGGAGCACAAAGCGTCCGAGCTCTCCGGGTCAGCGACCCGGGCGCAGGGCACCAGGAGGGCTTCGCCGGGGCCGGAAAGGCGCGGCGTCCGGGCGCGGACAGGTTGGGGGAAGAGGCCGAGTTGTGTGCGCTAGCGAGCGAGAGCCCGGCGCGCTCCCGGTCCGAAACTACCTGTAGCTGCAGCTACCTGCCCGCCCCACCTCGAAACAACAATGCTTCTCGCTCGCGCGCGCTCGCGCGCGCTTGTGTGTGGTACGTGAGTGTGTGCGCGGCGTGTGCGGTGTGTGTGCAGCAGCCACTCCACGCCCGATCCGTAGTATTTTGCTGTATCCAGGTTGCGCCCGGGAGCGCGGCACCGCCCGCTTTGCGCCGGGCGCAGCTTTCCTCTTACCCCACGCGCTGCGCACTCCACCCGGCTGCACTCTCCACACCTGGGCCAGGACCTGGGCGCCCCGGCCCTGGAGCCGGCGGGGCTTCACTCACCCCTCCCCTCTCTCCTCCGCTCTCCGCAGAGAATGTGATGGACATCGGCCTGACCAACGAGAAGCCCAACCCGGAACTCTCTTATTCGGGCTCCTTTCAGCCAGCTCCCGGCAACAAGACCGTGACCTACTTGGGAAAGTTCGCCTTCGACTCCCCTTCTAACTGGTGCCAGGACAACATCATTAGCCTCATGAGCGCCGGCATCTTGGGGGTGCCCCCGGCCTCAGGGGCACTCAGCACGCAGACCTCCACGGCCAGCATGGTGCAGCCACCTCAGGGCGACGTGGAGGCCATGTACCCGGCGCTCCCCCCCTATTCTAACTGCAGTGATCTCTACTCAGAGCCTGTGTCTTTCCACGACCCCCAGGGCAACCCTGGGCTCGCCTATTCCCCCCAGGATTATCAATCGGCCAAGCCGGCCTTGGACAGCAATCTCTTCCCCATGATTCCTGACTACAATCTCTACCACCACCCCAGCGACATGGGCTCTATTCCGGAGCACAAGCCCTTCCAGGGCATGGACCCCATCCGAGTCAACCCGCCCCCTATCACCCCCCTGGAGACCATCAAGGCATTCAAAGACAAGCAGATCCACCCAGGCTTCGGCAGCCTGCCCCAGCCGCCGCTCACACTCAAGCCCATCCGGCCCCGCAAGTACCCCAACCGACCCAGCAAGACCCCACTCCACGAGCGGCCCCACGCGTGTCCGGCGGAGGGCTGCGACCGCCGTTTCAGCCGCTCGGACGAGCTGACGCGGCACCTGCGCATCCACACGGGCCACAAGCCCTTCCAGTGCCGGATCTGCATGCGGAGCTTCAGCCGCAGCGACCACCTCACCACTCACATCCGCACGCATACGGGCGAGAAGCCCTTTGCCTGCGAGTTCTGCGGGCGCAAGTTTGCGCGCAGCGACGAGCGCAAGCGCCACGCCAAGATCCACCTCAAGCAAAAGGAGAAGAAGGCGGAGAAGGGGGTGGCGCCTTCTGCGTCCTCAGCGCCCCCCGTGACCCTGGCCCCCGTGGTCACCACCTGTGCCTGAGGCTCGGGCCCCCAGATTCCCACATTTCCCCTCCAGTGTCTCCCTGCTGCTGCCCTGAAAGCAGCGGGAGAGCTCGCCACGGAGGCGCAGGGGCCGCACTTGGGCCTCTCCATGGACATAAGGCTCCTCGTCACTCTTGGACGTCCCCGGTTTCCACCCTTTCACACCGGCCAACAGTCGGGGGCCAGGGCAGGAGGCGCCTTCCTCTCGCTGTCTCCCACCCACTTTAGCCACGGCGTGGAGGGGGAAAGAGTGGCGTCTAGCCCGCCTCGTTCAGTTCGGATCGTCTTGATCCAGGGGCCGCGGGGGGCGAGTGGGGGCCACACCAAGGACTTGCGGGGGACTGAAGGCGGGGCCCACCCAAACCTCGCCTGACCTAAGCACCTCAATGGTCCCGTACGTCTCCCTCGGTTCCCCCTCGAAGACCTGAGAGAGGGGAGAGGGTAAGAAGCGCACCAAAGCGCAGAGCTTGCTGCCTGCCGCACGCACGCCTGCGCGTGAGTGTGCGTGCTCGCGTGAGCGTGTGTGTGTGTGTGTGTGTGTGTGTGTGTGTGTGTGTGTCAGACTCTTGAGCTGAACTGGGCTATGTGCACCCCAAACTCTTCCCCACATCGAGTCCCCAGGCCTCTGGGGGGACTGTCCCAGGCTGGGTGCCTGCACGCGGCCAGATGAGACGGGTCTTCCATCTGCTCAGAAATAATGTTTCTTACAGAAATGCCTCGGATGCCACCGCGGCGGTGTGGCTACCGCCCCTTAAGCTTTGGCCCCTCAGAACCCCACTTTTTCCGAGCACTTCCCTATTAGGCCTCAGAGCAGTTTGATCTGCAGGGAGAAGGAGCAGCTATCACTGAACCTGCCTTTTTTAAAAATGTATTTCCTCAGCCTCACTTTTAAAAATCTAGGTCCTGAGTTTGCCCTCTGCCCTTCCCCCACCCTCTTCTCCCTTCTCCCCTCCAAGCCTTCTCCCATCTCTTTCAAAATCTTTTACCAGAAAGGCAGGCCTCAACCAGCCACCCCATTTCACCATCTTTTTGTTTTCTCTCACTCACATATTCTTCTTCCCATTGGTGGTGGGAAAGCAGGCTCATTTTTGCCCCTGGCCACCAAATAGGTAGACTTCAAATCTATGTATATGGTGTGTCTGTGTGTGTGTGTGTGTGTGTGTGTACACACACGTACACATACACATACATACAACACACACCACAATACGAATTCCTAGCAAAATAAAATCTCTAAGGTACTTGGCCATCCAGTGCAGTGCACTGGAATAAAGAGGATTTGTAGGCATATACATCTTTAAATGATTTATTTTTTATGAAAATTTTAACTGATGAAATATCTATATATGTGTGTATTATGTATGTATATATATAAATCTATGTATGTATGTATACATATACACACATACACATCTCTGTCCAAATTTTCCTTAAAAGATATGGGGATTTTTGCATTAATCCATGTTGATTAATGAGGTGTATCTTTTTCATACCCCAATTTCACCTTCTTCCTGCCCTACCTCAACTCTTCTCAGGCACCCCTCCACCCCAGCCCTTCTCCACACAGGGGTGACTCTTTTGAAGTATAGTAGTAGGGAAGGTTGCTCTCTGACACAGCTTCCAGCACAGTCCTGACTGAATGTACTGTTCCCTATTCCCAGTATTTCTCCTGTGGTCAGTAAGCTGCCCAGAGAGAAGGAACAAAGGTCTGGAGTTTACAGAATGTCTGTTTTTAAAGTCACTTTATGCATTACCCACCTTTTTTTTTTTTAAAGAAAAAGAAAGCACTGTTTTTTCTTTGTTTTTTTGGTGGAGGAAAAATAATACTAAACGGAGTCCAGTGAAGGGGGGAATCAAAGAGCAGGGGGATTGTGGATTTCCAGGTACTTGGACTTTTTGTAAAGGAGAGAGAAGAGAGGATGAAGTTTGCCAGGAGGGCTCATATTTTTTCAGCTGAGGGGTAAAATCTTTCTTTGCAGAGACAGTATTTTGCTGAATAGTTTTTATAATGTGATGATTATTAAAAACAAAATTTTGGTCACTTCAAAGCCAGAAGGAGGAATCAAATATCCTTTAATATTTTTTCCTTGCTCCTCCTGGCTTATGCATGTCACTGCATGATAACTCTGAGTTTTCCTTTGTTTTAATAAAACTGTTCTCAGACATTTAAGCTAAACTAAGAGAAAAAAATAACTTTGTTGCCAAAAGGTTGTGCTATCCAGATTTTTTATATGTCTGCATGTTTTAAAAAAAAAACAGCAAAAGAAAATGCACTCTAACTTATGTGAACTGAGAGAAAAAAATCAGGTTTTAAACAGGAAAACCTATGGGGAATGATATTTTTTGGAAGACTTTTGTATAAAGTTGAGTACTTAGAAAAAAGACAAACCAGATGTAATATATTTTGTGGATGTTTTTATTTCTTGGATTTATAGTACCTTATACTAAGGTTAAAAAATATGCTTGATATTGTGAAAAGGTGAAATTCTTCACCAACATTTCATCTGCTCCATTGTCACATTGTTATGCCAATATAATATAGTTAATGAAAACAGCATTTTTAAAAACTGAAATATTGAAATGGTGTAATGTTGTACCATTTGCACTGTGAGCAAATGCTAATACAGTAAATATATTGTGTTTGCTGACAATCAGCCGGCCTATAAATCTCCTTATTTTATTCCTTGTTTTCATAGCATAAAGTTTTGGTTTGGCCTGTTCTTTGTCTTGTTTTGTTTTTGGCTGGTGGTTGGTTTGGTAGGTTCTTATGCCTGGTTTTGCCATTCTTGCTCCGAAAATTCTCAGTGTGGAAATGTGGGATTTGGCATCATTGGAAGTTGGTCAGAATTTTGCGTGGTTCTGGTGTTTCCAGTGTTGAGTGTTCGCTGTGGTTCCAAGAGAATAGAATTCTCCACCCTCTGGGAGCTTCAAACTGCTGGAAATATTAGAGAAACAGATAAACTTCTGGGATTCAGGGCCGGTGGCTAGAACCTTCTGGAACCCTTCTCTCTGGTTTTCAATGGGTATTTGAGGGTAGAAAGGAGGAGATGATCTGATTTATGAACTGTTTCTCTAATGGTCACCGGGAGCACCAGAGCAGGACCCCAGAGGATCTCTACAGCCCTTGTGAGTGGTGTTCTTGGTAAAACTTTTGAAGCTTGAAAAACAAGCAGAGACTTGAGAGAGGTTCTTCAAGGTTGGCCAGATAACCAGAGAGATTGGAAGCTCTTTTGTGGTCAGATAATTGGAGAAAGTTGGGTTTAATGTTCTGTAACTTCAACCCCACTTGGACAGGATTCTCCAGGCCTCACTATTTGTAGCTGGGAAAGATGGTCTTAACTGAAAAACCGCTTTATGAACTACCCAGGGCTCTGATGCTTTTAAGAGAAGGGAGAACATTGGGGTTTAGAGAACACACGGGGGATGTTTATACAGCATTAACCCTTCACACCTTACAACTTTGTCCTTCATAAAAGTGATGCTTCCCCTCCCTGAGCTTACTTCCCCAGAAACTTCCCTGTCCTTAACTGAGGTTATTTGCCAGCCCTGAAGCTTTCTCTCGTAGAGATATGTACCTCCCATGTTCTTCCTGTGTCCACATCGCCATCTTATCCCTTCACCTGATTTCCTGTAGGCTTTAGAATCCTTTATCTCTGGGAAGCTTGTCGTAGAGCAGTCTTTGGACAAGTGAGCCCTGTCCCTCTCCCCTTCTCCCTGCCTCCCCTCTAAAACACCCACCTGGGCTTCTCTTCCATGCATTTCCCTATTATCTGCCTTAGCAGAGTTTAGGGGCGTGGTGTATGATCCTGAGCTATGTAATGTAGCACTGCATCCGACTGGGAGACGCTGTCTCAGTGCCTGAGACCCCAACCCGGTCAGCCACACAGTGACAGAAATGTAGAGCATCACCGCTCAGAAACCGCTCTTGCTGCCCCAATGCAGGCCCATCACAGTAAAAAATGCGGGTGGTATTTCTGGTTGGCTGTAGTTACCAAAAAGTTGAGGGCCGACTTGGGTGGAGGAGGTGGGCTGTGGCTTTAGAAAAGAATGTTTTTGAAGTGCGAGATCAATCAAGAGAATGCAGTATGGAATCTTAAAGTTTCTCACCCACACAATTCTAGGTCACTGGCTGCCATCTTGAATTCTCTTCTCTCACCTCATGAAACCTGCAAAATTTCAAACTACAACTTTATGTACAGCCACAAGGAGGTGTCCTCTTTTTTTTTTAACAAAGAGAATACAAGATGGCCAAAGAGTCCTATTGATTGAACATATAATCCATTTCTTTGTTAAACTAGATTGTTCCTTCCAGATTTCTATGTGTTTTTTGAATGAATATTATCAAAGGAAGATAGTGTCACTGGGTGTCTTCTCAGTTAGCATCCAGCCTCGCCTACATCTTCTCCAATCAAACCAGGCCTTCAGAGTTGCACTTTCGTCAACAGTATACTATGCTGCATGATTAATAAACTCACTTCCCATTGGTGCATATTACTCAACCCAACCTGGTTCAACCACTGGGTTACTTGGCAATATGGCAGCCCGTCTAGCTGGCACCAGCCCTGTGTGGTGTAATCTCTGATTCACACTTTGTAGCTAGATAAGGCTGCCTTTGATGGCATCACTCCAGCAACCCAACCTGCCTGGGTTTGTAAATATGGGGAAAGGAAACTCAATCTGAAACAAAGGGATGAGGTGGAGAGATGGTGGAAGAAAGGCCTGGCTGGTAGAAGAAGGGGCTCAGGAGCAAAATCAGGCATTTATACATAAAAGAGGTAGAGGCCTCACTCTTTCCAAGCAACCCCTAAGGTGTTTGGGGATGAATGAAAGGATACCCCACATACATACACGCATATCTTGAGAGTGGCATACTGAAGGCAATGACTCCGCAAAATTGTACTCAATGAACTGAAGTTGGATACAAATGAGGAGACACTTTGTGAGAACTGGGGGCAAGGAGTGGCATGTTTTTATATGGTGGTGGTGGAGGTGGTGGTAGTGATGGTGAGTATGTCTATGTATTGTTCACACGTATATAAAAAGCAATAGCAAGGTGGATTCTGGTGAATGAAGGCAATATCTTATGTCCAGTCACTACTGCTCCCCTTTTGCTAGTCTACAATTTGCCTACCATAGATGAGGGGGTTGTGAGTTGCCTTTTCCTGGCCTTGATGGCTCTCCTGGTGTCCTGGAATAATAAACCTAGGGAAAGTAGGAGGCCTCCATGTGTCCCAAAGACTAGAAATCATCCTGGCAAAATCTTAACAACTAGGAGAAAATGATTTTCTAAATGGTGCCATGGGGTTTTAAAAATAGGTCGTAATCCTAAATCTATCCCAAGTGGTTCTTTTTAGAAAACCTACTCTTTGTGCAAAGAGGAATGAGGTCTCTAGAGGAATATATAATGCTCAAGGATCCCAGTGAATCTCAGAGCCCCTTAGTCATACTAATCCCTGAGACAGCCCTGAGAACACAATCAGTCACCACAGAGGTCTGACCTTGTCACCTGCTTCCAGCATCCCAGCTCTTGAAACTTCACCTCTCTCTCTGCTTCAAGGTTCCCCTCTACCCCAGCTTTAATATTTTCAACGATTGGTCATTTTTACAGCAAGAACAGAAGTGTGATGAGGCTTTTCCGGACTTGCACTGACGTCTCTGACACGTCCTTGCCCAAGTAGAAAGGGACAGGTCTGAACTCTTCTGCCTGGGATCCTCATTCCCCAACCTCATCATGGCTGCTTTGTCTGGGATCTGGAAGGGGCACCCTTGTCACCACCCCTGCTGGCCACCAGGGGCACAGTGTTCCTCTGCCCACTGATCTCCCTGTAAAAATACTATTTCTTCCATTTGGGCAAACACACAGATGGCTAGAAGAAAGGCTTCCGAACAATCTCACTAAGGAGCTAAAGCAAACAGAACATGACCACAAAGCCACAAACAAGAAGAATTCGAGAATACACGGTTCTAGATAGCAGTGGCTACTCAACAAAAATGTTCTTCTAGGTTGGTTGGGAGTTTGACCATCATATGGTTTCTTTAACATTGCCTAACCTTATTCTTATCTCCAGAGAGGCCCCCAGCACATTCTCTCCTGGCCAGGACTCCATAATTGTCCAACCCTATCATTGCCCTAATAGTGTCCTCTGGGCCCTGCTCATTTTACATGGAGCATGATCCTGGGCTGGCTTTCCCTGGGAGACCTGCCTTGGGCCTTCAGCCATCTTTACCTTGAACCTTTCAGAGAGGCAACATGACCCAAACAGAAACAGACTGCTATTTTCTGACCCAGCCGACAACAGAGTTGAGTTCCCTCTTGGGTTACCCACTGAGTTCCTAGTTATAGTCTCAGAACGCTTCTGCCTCTGAACTCCCTGGAGGAAAAGAGAAGTCTGGCGCCCCTGAGGCTAGGGACATCCCAGCCCTGCACAGGGGAAATCACCCTTGTCCATGGACTTGTATTCTCTGGGCTGGCTTGCCCCAGGGGGTGTCCCCACCCAGTCTCCAATAAAGGGAGAGAAAGTAGTGACCTGAACAGAACTGAGCCTCTAAGTCCTTTATCTTCTTCTCAAAGATGGGATATAAGAGCTCTGGCATTTTGCCCCTCCAGGTTGTCCAGGTGCCTAAAGGTCTTCCATTCCTCCTTGTTCCCTTCTCCCCACTACTTAAGAAGCTCAGGCCATGGGTACAAAAAGGCAAAAAAAAAAAACCCAACTTCTGGTGCCTGTGTGGCCCCAGGGTACTAAGGAAAGCCTTCTTTGGGGTGCTTGTTACTTACTCAGAAATTGAGAGGGAGTTTGATAACCAGCTTTGAAACCGTCACCTCCATCCTAGATCTGAATCTCAACTCTGCCACTTTCCTGCAGTGTGACTGCCAACACGTGTCTTAGTCTCTCTGCACCTCAGCTCCCCCTGTCTTATCATTGCTGTCTTATCATGTGATGCCTGGTTCATTGTGGGTGCTCCATAAATGTCACTTATCTTCTTGATCCCTCTCCCTGTCCCCTTTCCCCATCCTCCAATCACAGATGTGAGAAAGAGGGCTCTGTCTCCACCAGGTATCAGTGCACTGATTCAAACACAGCCAGAGGAACCTGAGTCTTCACCACCACTTCCAGCTCCAGCCATCCCCTGGACATCCCTATTCTGAAAGGGGATCCTCCACCCCACCTCCCAATCCCCCCAGAGGACATGAGTCCAGACCCCTCTTGGCCACAGCTGCTGTTATTGTTGCCATTTCCTGGCTTGGTTCCTGACCCCTTCCCAGGTCCTTTTGTCTCTCTCACTTAGATGGGTGGATATAACACCTTCCTGATCCAGTATCATCTGCAAAGTTAATTAATGTGTCATTGGGCTGTTACCTGCTTCCTGATCCTTATCAGGGATTTAAATAAAACGCAGCAGCCCCAGTTCTTCCCCGTCCACCCCTCTCCCTGAATCAGAGGCTTGTTCTTAGTCATCAGTCCTTGACCTCAGCCTTCTGGCCAGTTCTCAGCTCCTAGCCTCTGCCCCTGCCCAACCCTAGTTTGGGGGCCCAGGTGCCATCCAGGGCTTTAATGGAAGTGATGTTCTGTGAGAGAATCATGGAGTCCTTACCTCTTGATACCCCCTTGGGTGGGTTTCCCTAGATCTGTAGACTCATAAGACTTAAGAGGCAAAGAAACAGAGGCCTCCAGAGGTCCTATGACTGTTCCGAGATCACACATCCAGTAAGAGTAGAGCC